GTGAAGTTTGGGAGTTGGAGAAATGTCGCAGGTCAAAAATAATTATTACAAAATGTTTGAAAGACAAGGCGAAATCTCAGCCTTCAGAAGGAAAGACCAAAGGACTCTTGTGCCCATATGCTTCTAGAAGTTCGAGACCCTGATTTCCTACCTGGGAAGCGCTAGTTTCTAGGGAGACTACCCCCTCCGTCGAATTAGACAGTCGATATAACGTATTCATACTATACGCTGTACGACGTGGATGTGGTACATGTACCTCTTCTTATCAGATCTCTACATCACGTGCTGATTATACTTTGCTGGACGTGTTCCAATTACTGTATACTTGCCGTTGTATCCACTTGATATGCACGAGTAATGCAAGCACAATAACATAAGCTGTATCACGTCTACCGGGATTCACCCAGGCTCCAGTTCTTAGCCTCTTACAGGTTACAGCGTCACTTAAGCTTGTCAGCCTTCGTCCCTACTGTAACTACATCTGAGGACAGACAATCTCGACACTATGAAGCTGCAGAGCTTCTTATTACCAGCTCTGGCTGGCATTGCCGGCGCCAATGCAGAGGAGAAGTTTCAAGATGCCGAGGCTTATATTCTCGGACAACCTAAGACTACGAATCCTCCTTCGATACCAAACAAGCTTGCGCGAGCTATCCTCCTTCAACGTCTCAGCACGCCAGAGCAACCATCTACTCTAGGCCAGCTACCCGACTCCCTTGCCCAAGAAACATCCATACACTATATAAACAAGTTCGGAAAGTCGGCACGGCCGCTGTTCGAAGATGTAGACGATGCGAACGATCCTAGCCAGCTTGTCATCGCCTTCTCTGGCATGACAACTGACAAGTACGACAACTTCAAGACTGCTATGTCAAGCGCGCCTCTTGCTTTCACAGCCCCTGGATTGAGCCGATTACCTGTTGGAGGAAAGAAGCCAAGCTGTACTTTTGAGAAGTCCATCGATTACAAGAACGATAAGTGCTGGAAGGGCAAGACACAGTATCTCGAGTACGATCTATCCAAGGTACGCTTCGTTCTAGTTAATTCGGACACGTAAACGTTATACTAATTCATGACAGGAGAAGGACATAATCACACAACTAGAAACCAGCCTCGCAGCCCTCACTGCCCAAGCCCAAAGCGGCAAACTAGACACCACCATCGTGCTCCTCGCACCCCCCAACACCGAATCCGACGAGCTCCGACGCCGCAACTTCGAAGACGAGGCCGTCATGGCAGAGGACGACGAGGAAAACGTAGCCATAGAGGAGGAGTACTTCGATCCAAAGTACGATACCCAACCCGCTTCCCAACCCTTCCACGGCTTCGCGTCGTCCCGGAAACCGCCCGCAATCCTGCCGTCGTGCTTCGGCTCCCACAACGCGTGCGTGTCCGCGACCAACGATTGCTCGGGCCACGGGCAGTGCATCGACCGCTGGGAGAAGATCGACACGGAGAAGACGTGCTTCTTCTGCTACTGCATGGCGACCAACGAGACGGTGGGCGAGAACAACCACACGAGTGTGTACCATTGGGGTGGGTCGGCCTGCCATAAGCAGGATATTAGCACACCCTTCTGGTTGTTCGCTGGTGTGACTATCGCGCTCGTTTCCACGATCGCTTTCTCCATTGGTCTGCTGTTTAGTGTCGGTGAGGAGAAGCTGCCGGGTGTTATTGGGGCTGGTGTCTCGCGGACCAAGTAATTAGATCCCACTGTTTAGCTGGTATTATGTAGCCAAGCTAGGAGCCGCGTAAGAGGACGACAGGATTGAAGGAGTCGTGAAAGAAGGTCCAAGCCGTACTTCATACGGCGATAATGCAAATGTGGATGCGGATGTATCATACGTGTACTGGTATCGGGAACACAACACACAGTCAGGCGCTGGTTAGCATATTTGTCCCCCTTGACAAGCTAGAAGGCCTGTCAAGTGATATTTCATTATGTAGAAGGTTTAAGATAAAGCACGATTTTCACAAAGTGTATTGCTCAGGTTGACTTTAGTTTCTTCGAATCGTTCACCTATTATTGTCTCAGGTATTTGGGTATCATATTGTGTATTGTACTAATCATATCTCCATCTCCATCTGTGACTGCATGTGCTGCCTCACTGGCGTGGTTCCTAGACTCTCTAAGCCCCTTTGTCCAGGTGTATTCCCCCCGGCCCTTGCTTGCTCTAGAAGCGACTGAGCGGCCGCGACATTATCTGCTGAAGCCTCTCCACTACCGTTCGCAGTAGTCCCAGATGTAGCCCCTTCAGCACCAGACATCAAAGCACGGTACCGCTCGCCGGCCTCATTGAGTAATTGCTGCACCTCCGGCTCACGCTTAAGTATACCCTCACGTTCAGCCCGCAGCTCCTCGATTCGCGCCCGTAGTCGTGCCATCTCTTCTCCTTTCCTCCGCATCCGCGCCTTGAACTCCTCCACCAGCACGCTAAGATCCGGCAGCGGCGTAATCTTTGGGATCACAACGCCAGCACCCATCCGCTGCCGCTGCCGCGCCTGCTGCGCGCGCTCCTCGGCAAGCCCGTCCATACCCGCACGTGTCTGCGCAGCCTCATATGCAGCCCGTCGCTCGGCTTCTGAGTCATCGGACTCCTCGTCACCATCCACGCCCCCGCCCTCAGCAGCCGTAATCAGCGACGCCATTTCCGCGCGCCGCTTCTTCCGAGCCTCGCGCTCAGCACGCTTGCCAAGGGAGAGCCCACCATCCTCGACGAACTCGTCAAAGCCCTCGCCTAGGTCCTCGTCCTCGGCTACGAGACGCGTGGTATCTTTGGATTTCTGGGCCCGCTGCGAGAGCACTGCCAAGTAGGAGTCCCCGTGTCCACGCTGGTCGTCATCGGAGAGTGAGATGAAGTCATCTGTATCTCTAGTGCCGCCTTCTTTGGCTAAGCGGGCGCGGCGGGATTTCTTCTCTTGGATCTCGGCTTCGGTTAGGATAGATGTGCTCTTTTCCGTAGCGGTGGTGTCTACAACTACGGCGCCCTCGAGTTCTGATGGGTCGAGGGCCATCTCGTCGTCGGATGTTGGCTGTAGCTTCGATAAGTCCTGGGGGGTGTTTGGGGTTGATTGTTGGAGCTGGGAGAGGTATTCTTTGCTATATCGTGGACGGTCTTCGTCGGCGTCGGCGGAGCGCATGGGGAGTCGGTTGAGAGGTAGGTTCTTCGCAAAACCCCTTTTGTATGCGCTGTTCTCGGCTGCGGCGTGTGCGAGTGTTGTGCCACGTTTTGGAGTAGAGACCTCCTCCCCTAGTATCATGGAGTCTTCGTCCGCAGAGGCTTCCTCGGCAGGGCCGCCGAATGAGAGACGCGAGCTTGACGCTCGTTTCTTGGGTTTCGCAGATCCCGACCTTCCCAGCGGCGGGCGGATCCGAAGAGACGCACCGCCATCCTCCTCGTCTTCTGGTTCTTCTTTGGTGTTTGTAGGCGCAGATTGTGAATTGGAAGACGTATCGTCATCGATTTTATCGATGTTAATACTCTTCCGTAATGACGAATGTTTGAACGGCTTGCGGTTTGTCTTGAATGTTGGTTGTAGAGCAGGTCCCTGGGGTTCTTCTGGGGGGTTCAACGATTCAGCTGAGATTCTATCGTCGTCGTCATCTTGAACGGTAATCTTTCGCGCCTTGCGCTTGGCGAATGCGCTCATCCTTATTTCTATACCAATAATCCAATTGCAATTTCGAAGTAAAAGCTCCAGCCAGTTTGGGGATTTGGTAGATTTAAAGCGCCAAAAGATTAGGTAAATAGGTAAATATCGAAGAAGTTAACCTTGAAAGAGCACTTGAATGAATAATGTACTGAGCACAGTAGCACGATCTAGAAATTCTTTATCGATAAGAGCTACACGTACTGTACAGTAGTAACCGTGCTATCTTATCGCGCCGTGCGAGAGCTCGGGGCCTTTTTGATCATCAATCGTCAACAACTTAACATTCGCATCATATTTCCCACATTCCTGTCTTCCAACTTCGACTACGAATCTACCCAAATTCTGTCAAGATGGCGCCTGCACAACCAGAGCTCAAGAAGGTACGTTCCATTATCGCGTCAGTTTTGCGACACAAGACTTACTAAAATCTATGCAGTACCTCGACAAGCGACTATTCGTCCAGCTGAACGGCAGCCGTAAAGTTCTAGGCATCCTACGCGGTTACGATGTGAGCAATCAAATTCCCGCCCTCGTTCTATTTCTACGCATGATCTCGTCTGTGGCATAGCGCGTACAAACTGACTGTATACCTAGGTCTTCCTGAACATTGTTCTAGACGATGCCGTGGAGGAGAAGGATGGAGGCGAGAAGGTCAAGTTAGGAATGGTCGTACGTGCTCTGAGATACATCCGTCGCAAACATGGACACATACTAATAACCGTATGATAGGTCATCCGAGGCAATTCAGTGGTCATGTTGGAAGCGTTAGAGAGAATTGGAGGAGATCGGGACAAATGATCAAACCACGCCATGGTCTCGCATACGCCCAAGCAAGCCCGGAGTTGATACCCGCATGAAAGCGAGGCGGAACCAGATTTGTCTGTTTTAGGGGCCAAAAGTTATAGGGATGGCGTTATACTGGATGTCAAAGCCGACAGAGGGTTGAAGACGTTCCCCGGTAGGGATGATTCGGTGGCAGTATACCAGCTGATTGAATCGAATAATATCAGGAGGCTTCAGGTCTGCGGTCTACGGAGAGTAGGTTTCACCGTCTATATCTTCTTCGTTCCAGTCAAGCTGAACATCGGGCATTACAGAATAGATGTCAACTTCTGTCTGCCCAATGGATATGGATTATGCAAGTTTATTCTAGGCGTCAAATCAAATGTATAATCCTTGAACCAGCTTATTAAAATAGTGCCCATTTAGTCCGCTACGATGCATAAGATCCATAACCGACGATCTGGTTCTTCATGGATCCACCAGAACAGAACTTTGGGGCCCTATCTACCTGCGCACCAAAAAAGATTGCCCGAAACTAGACAAAAAAATATTTCGAGTTATTATGTCCTCGGTGAGGCTCGAACTCACGACCTTTGGATATCCCAATCTAGGATTGGATCATATTTCTATGAGACCAACGCTCTGACCAACTGAGCCACGAAGACAATGTCAATTGGCCCGCTAACAAAGTTTATAACCCAAGTCCTGGAGGTCGCAGCTCAGGGTCCATCCTACACTCACTTGAATTACACATTGAGAACCGATAATTACACGTCCCCAAGTACCTAGTCTGGAAGAAATCAGTTCGATGGATTAAATACTTATGCGGAGACGAAGTCGAGTTACGAATCACTACCGTCGTTAAACCTAGACTACTGAGCTTCTGCGCTAGGGTACGATATTTTCGCCCTCCTTAATAGACCTCCATTTTTCATATTCACATCGATCTATACATTGGCATTCATAAATATTTGGCTCATGAACGAGTCGTTCATTCATTATCGTATTGGCATATTCACAGCTTCTAGTCGAGGCTTACTGTTCCCTTCAAGTATATCTGTGCTCCACACATACGATTCCCGAGCCATCATGCGAGAAATTTTTGCTTAGTACCGGCATATCGATCACATGCTCCATCCAATACCATTTGGTTGCAAAGCGACTTTCCACTAAGTTGTCTTGAATAAAAGAGTCCTCCGAAATGACGAGCTAGTTACCTATTCTTTCCCCTGACAGCGCTCAACATACAGCGATCTCAGCGCAAGGCGAGTTACTATTTCCCTCCCCACACCTTCCTAACGAAGTCCTCAACCTGAGTGAACTTGTAGTCTGGGAGGAGTCTATTCCATTCATCCGACACGGCATATGCACCACGGTTGATGCCAATCAAGATTCCCTTGAGTGCCACGCCCAGGAACTGTTCGAGCTTCTCCGGCGGAGATGAACGGAGGTCTATACCCTCGTACCATTCCGCCTTCCATTCGATAGCTTCGACATCTTCCAGCTTGAGCCAATTGACAGTGAATGGCCTGCCTGCAAAGATTGTCAGCTGTAATTCATATTCAAGCAACACTTTCGGCCGCCATTCTGTCGTGGGAGCATGACTTACCAATAGCCTCTCCAATCCGAAGAATCTCCCCTATGGTGAGCCGGCTTCCGGAAATGCCACCGACAGCCGGCCACTCGCCCTCATACTCTACAGCCCGAGCAACCACGTTCGCAATGTCTTGAACCGTGGTCCACACGATAACATCATTGTGCGAGCCTTCTACCAACGTAGCACGTTGGCTCTCAAAGTCAATCAGGAACGGGACCGTGGTGACGTGGTTTGACGTCTTATGTGGGTGGCCGAGGTAGTTCGTGAAAACACCGACTTGGAATCGCGTGTACTCGATGACCTTAAGAAAGCAGTTAACTTCGAGGACTTCAAACCTGGCAATAGGGTAAAGAGCGTGATGGAGGGCGGTACCTTCTTCTCCTTGTTGAGATTCTCCAAGTAGCGGGCTACTTCGACTTTACCAGTGTACCACGGAATGCCATCAAGCGAAGACTCCAACTTCACACCCCTAGAATGTTGTCAGAATGGTAAGGCGACTGTGCTACTTGAAGGGTGCTACTCACGTCGCCCACTCGGACGGAGCGAAGCGCTTAACGCCAGCCTCAACAGCAGCATCGATGAGTCGCTTCTGCGCTACATTGCCCACGTCGAGATGGACAGGAGAGAAACTCAACACAGTTTCCACACCCTTGAACAAGCGCACGAGTTCCGCTTTGTCCTCGTAGGTCGTCTGCACCCATTTAACTCCCGGAAGAGAAGGATATGTGGCAGGATCCTATGCGCCCTGAGTTAGTTTCGATGGGCGGGGTGGCAAGTACGGATGTTATCACCTTTCGACCCAACGCGATTATCTCATGTTTCTGGGTTGCTACCAGCGCATCGATGACCTCTCTGGCCAATTCTAAAGCGAGCGGTTAGCTTATAAACGAGTCAATTTCGGGGAAATGTCGTAACGTAAGTCACTTACGACTTGAAGCCGACGCAATTGCGATCTTGACCATTTTGGCGTATATTTTTCGGAGATTGTAATCGTAAATAAGAGCTCAAGCGACTTTTTGGATGGTTATTGAGATTTTGTTCGAGTTGTGAAGACTGCTGTTGAGAGACAAAAGTGTCTTTCCTCTCCAGGGACCGCCATACTTATAGGCTCATCAATTGTCTTCGAAGACGGGATTACGACAGTGATGCAAGGTTGGCGTGACGGGATGACAATTCATTCCAAGCGTAGTTCACGTAACTACCTATTCGCACACACACACTATGTCGGCGACTATAAAGTTGAGGATGTCCGACTCCTATTAAAAGCGGTTACGTGATCGGGCTGAATCTCTCCGCGCCGAGCTTATTAGCCCCTTAACAGGGGGAAAACCATACAATCTGACAAATTGGTCCGGAGACTTTCACCTCAACGGTTACATAACTACTAAGACAAGCCCGGATCTCACTCTTGATGTGTTCGATATGCTGATCAATTATCAGCCCCATTAGAAACATAGAGATGGTCAAAGATCCAGAAGAGGCGCTCAAGGTAAGTGCACGCTCAAATTCTCCACCAGCCACCATACTAATCAGAATTCAGCGCCGCCGTGAACGTGGCCGTCGGTCTCAAGCTGGCTTCCGCAAACGCCAAGCTGAAGCCAATCAGCTTATGCAAGAGCAAAACCGCCGCCTCAAGAGCGCCATTGAGAAGCTAGTCAATACCGCTCGTGGCGATGAGCGCCAGGAATTACTCACCGCCATATCCGACGTGGCTAAGGCGGCAGATACCGATGTTAAAACTTTAACTTTCGAGTGTCAGCCCAAGCCTGTGTGCGGAAATTGCCATAACATCCCTCAAGGCGAGGATCTGGTAATCGATTCCGAGAGGCGGGACGTCTTCTGCGGCTGGGACCACGCCACCGATACCAGAAGGGCGCCGCCACCTCTACCCTCGGCTTCGTTGCCACGACTCAAGTGCGGCCTCTGGATAAGCGACATATATTACATGCAGATAACGATACCCCCTGATGACATCCTGCCCTACATAGGAGACGGAGCTAAGACGTTCGCCGGAATCATCTTCTGGTCGATGATGGACCACAGCCAGGGCAAATGTGAGCGTAAACACACCGACATTAACACCCTCATCAAGAAATCATTAGGCCATTCGAAGATCACGGACGATTGGACAATCCGCTACATCCTCGCGATGGTCGAGGGGAGGCAGGAGTACAAGGGGAAAGGATTCATAAGCGCCCGGTACGCCTCGGCCGTGGACCAGGATCTAGGGATGGTGGTACGCGATCGTGTCCAGGACGACTACCGTGCTCGGGGAATGGACCCAAACAAATGGCTTTCCGCCACGGGGATTGAACGGCATGTGAGGAGCTTTCTCGGCGATGATACGTTTGGCGTTTTGGATACGGCCGCGAGGGGAGAAGGTGATTTTGACTTACGACACTGGTTTGAGGATATCCAGTGTAAGCTCTGCGAGACTTGTGTCTGCTTTGGTGATGGGCCGAGGTGGCATGTTGATATTGTGGATGAACTGTTTCTGGGTTGGGTTCATTCGGCATTTTGGTATACTTGATGCGAATTGAATGGAGGATGAAGCATATGTAACTACCCAGGTACCTACATACTGGGATTAGAGAAGGATACCCTACCTACATGTACATATCTACGTGAAACTAGAGAACTTCTCATAACAAGATAGCTGCTGCTTAGGTTTCTTGATTTGCCCCATAAGAAAATCCAAACGTGGACTAGGCTATATCTTCCACCCGTACGCGTTGAGGTTGGGTAACCTTAAGCTCGCCAAAGCAAAGTCCCGTGAAGTTGTATACCACATACTCGCTCGATCTTGGTTTCGTAGTCTCATTTTGGTATCCGTTCTGATAAGCCCCAGCAAGCCCAAAAAGTGGCCCGCCGTAACCAATAGGGGAGGCAACACCCGTTCCCGCCCAACAAGCCATATAATCGCCTGTTGGAACCGGGGCGCTTGTGTATACGCCACACAGAGTCCTTCGCGTCTCGATACAAGATACCGTAAGAATCACGACCGCAAGTCCCATAATAATTCCTGTATATATTTTATACCATGTCGTTCCTATACAAGGTATAATTGTCGTAACGGTATAACCGCGGATGGAATAATAAGAAAACATTATTGTCGTCGCTCCCACGAGAATCATATAGAATAGTATCACTGAGATTACCGTCACAGTGAATACACTATCTAGCATAAATAGAAATAAGAAAGACATTAAAAACATTGCGATTAGCTGCAGAATAAAGAAAGCCCGGAACAGTTGACTACCCCAATATGAAGTTGGCCGGAAGCGAGTTTCCGCCGGGATGTGAGGATATCCCGATATCAGACTGTCTACGGATGGTCTCCTTCCATCCAGGTTGGTTTCGGCGGGGTTATTACCCTCGCCTTCGGACCAGAGCAAAGCATATGCGTAGTCCTCGCTTAGCCAGAGCCCGCAATAAAGTCTGAGCAAGCCTATAATTGCCAAAGGGAAAAATATAGTATCGGTGGCTATATAGGGTTCAAAAAATGTTGTCGAACGAGCAGTGATAGTCCCCAAAAGAATCATAACGGCTTGTATTCCCTGGCAGGTGACAATGACTGTCTTTACCATTTCTCGCGATAGTACCGCGACTCTAGCACGCTCTGGAAGGTGAAAACAATAGGGGCTAGTCAAAATAATCATCGATTCAGAGCCATCCCATCCTCTTGAGGTCCAGAACAAGGTATTGCTCGCCGCCAGATCCATTCTATCCCAGAATCTCGCTCGAAGCCGCCGGTCGGTAATTGCGGCATATCGCCACATAATCGACGTCGGGTTGTAATGGCCAATGATCTCGTGCCATTTTGGTCGACGGCTACAGAGATAGGATGTTTGAGGGACACCGGCGATTATGTGGGCGATTAGGGGGGCTAAGCAGAGGGTGAAGATAGAGATCCACTCGGTGAATGATATGTTATAACTCTGGTGAGAAAGAGGGCGGACGTCAAGCGAAAAATTGAATTGTAACATTGCTATGGGTACATGTAGGTACGGGTACAGAACGAAAAGGAATTCAATGTTTACGCTTTACGAAGGTAGAGTCCGAGGAGCC